AAGCTACCTGGTAAGCTAAGATTGTCACACCCAATTTTAAGGATAAAATTGAATGCACTAAACTTATATGTGCTCAGGAATCAGTCACACACATAGGTTGACAAATTATAAAAAGTATCATCACGGTGTATCTTACATAACGAATAATAACATCACATAGTCTTACACATCACAGCGGTAAGTAAAAAGATAGCTCTCTTATGGTACCTCCAACATAGGGACGGTCGACTGGTTGACCCCAAGCCTAATAGTCTTCAGGAAACTCCTCATACACATTGTCATCTGTTGCCCATCCGGGATTTTTATCCAAATATATAAAATAAACAAGCGTAAGTACTTCCCGTACTTAACAAGACAACATGGGGTTCATGAGGCTCAAAAAGGATGACACTGATTTATTGCGGTTAGCACTTTTAGTAAGTCAAGATTTTATCATCAGTTATTATCAAGTTATGCTTAAGCTCCCATTTAAACCCACATGATCATATATCCGATCCAATTGAGTCATGTTACATCATCATAATATCATCATAATCATCTCGTATAAACAACATTATAAGTAGCCATCTATTCTGTGAGTTTTTCGGGCTGCTCGTGGCCGTGAGCACGGCTGTTATAACAGTTTGTTACCATCTGCAGAGGTGGTGCACATTCACCGCGAGTCGTGATTCCCATATGCCCGGGTTAATTACTCTCATATCACTGCCAAGGTGAGCGGGCAGGTACACTATGAAGCCATTTCATAGGTTTCTCTAACAAGTTAGGGCCGCTAGGTTTCCTTGGTAGACAGATGTAGGAACCCCTCTTTCCTATGGCACATATCCATCGCGGCTATACACATAGGAACAGAGGCAATCCTATACCCAACGTGGCAAACCCCTTTTACGCCATAAATGTAACCTCTAACAAACTAAAAAAGGTCCTATTACTGAGCTAAAGTCAGAGCCATATGACCCTCATGGTTGCACTGTCAGTCCCAGCTTTTGCCGACAGATAAGTCCTTATGGAGGGCCGAGAGCATCATGATCGAAAGTCATTTGCTCCATCGCCCTATAATCCAGTTGTTTAAAAGCAACTTTTTCTTTCCATAGAATCGTTGTTCAATATGTAGCTCATGTATAGTTATGTTGAGCACTAGCAAACTACCCATAGGAGACAAGGAACAAGATAATCAATCACTAGGATGTCCTTACGGGTATCAAAATTAGACACATGCAAATGAGTAATTAATAAAGGTGAATAGGCATCAAGGTAGATCCCATGCTATACTTGCCTTGGTTAGCAAACTCCTGCTGGTCCTGCTGGTCGTCGAAGAACTCTTGGTCTCCAACGTTCTCCTCACCGTCTGAACGCGACCAACACGTCAACATACAACATTCCAAAAGCATTCATGCAAAGCAAACATTCCTATAATTAGAACAGTACACCAACAGTATAAAAAACATGATAAAATGTTTATGAAAAGAATCTACGTCTCGCTACGATCACGTCAACACGAAGTTCACGAAAAACGGAGCTAAAACGCGAAAGTTATGAATTAAACGGGGTTTCCTATAGCAATTTATTTAATTAAATCTAACCATGAAATTTAAAAGTTGCAAACATGATTAACAGTGGTACTAACACGTAGATTATGAAATTACGAAAGTAACGCAATTTGAACGGATCAATTCAGAGCTAAAACGAAGTTTTTATAAGCAAAACAAATCCAGTGGCATTTCTATAAATACTGAAAACGTATTTTGAACTAAAACAGTGCACTTTACGTTTTCAAAACGAGAAAGCGTACTTTGGAAACTAAGCTAGGGACGGCGGGTTCAATTTGGTGAAAACAGGGGGTCTCTTTAGCAAATTTACATGCGAAGGGGTAACTTCTAATCCTGGCCGCAGATCTAGAGATGGACGGCTTGGATCAGTTCTGGGGAAGGAAGAGAAGGGAGGCCCGGCAGGCACAGTGACGCCGGCGGCAAGCTCCATGGCCGGCGGCGTGGAGGTCACTGGCGCGTACGGATAGGGGCCTACGGGCCACGGTTCGAAGAACCGAAGGCACCGGGAGATGGAGGGGGTTCTCGCGAACCCGTCCAGGCCAAGAACGGGGCCGGTGGACGCGGTTGGCGCGGTGGCCGCCATGGCCGACGAGCAAGAGCTCACGGGCGCTCGCGAATAGGGCTCTAGAAGCCACGAAACTCAAAATAAACGGCATGGGAGGAGTGAGGGGAGTACGGCGAGGCTCACCACGGCGAAATTCGGAGCGGAGGCGGCTCGAGGACGGTGGTTCGCGCGGAGGGCGGACGGCGGATCCCGGCGACCTCGGCGCGGCGGTTGTTGGGGCTTCCTCGGTGCCTAGCGAACGCGAAGAAGAGAGCGGGGAGCAGCAGGGGTGCGCGTGGGGGGTTCGGCTCCCTTAAAATGAGGCCGAGGAGCGGGGCGACGCGCCCACGTCGCGAGGAGAGCGGGCGCAGTTCGGCGGCGGTTGCGCCAGGCGCACACGGGGCGGCACTGACACGCGGGGCCGGGATGGCAGCGGCTGCGGCGCGGGGCAGTTGAGGCGCGAGCTGGGCCGGTGTGGCGGCAGCGGTTGCCTGGCCCAAGCTGGGCCGGCCCAGGAAGGGGAGAGGGGTAGGGCGAGCGGCTGGCGGGAGGGCTGGGCTGGTGTGCTTGCGCGGGGGAGAAAAAGGCCATGGGCCGAAAGCAAGGAAAGGAGGGGGAGGAGAAAACGAATTTCTTTTGGTAAAAGATCGCCTGGGCCTTCTACACACTGATTCCTTGTAGAGACTACCTAATCATATCTTGTGAACATGCACTTTTCACTAGTGTACTTTTCTGTCACACACATCACCTTTCTTTAACTTTTCCTAATACATATACTATAATCTTCATCCTGCTTTTATTTTTCTTTAGATCTGTCTTGTGCCCCCCTAGGTCCTCTAATTCATATATATGAATCTTGGCAACTATCTTGCCCATGGTCTAGGTGATACATATATGGAACTATCCCATTAATAGTGATCAATATGCATGCCAAAACATAAATATTTTTATGTATATGGACATAATCTCTGTTGCAAATTATTGTGAGGTTGATGATTACAGTTTTTTTTCACAAATGTCAAATATAAAGTTCATTTTTTGGCAAGAAGTATATAAAGTACATGGAATTATCTTGTCGCAAACAATGAGTATGTTGCCCTTCTAGTGAATCAGTACATGTGATTCTAGTGTTATTGTTTCTTATGATGCTTAATTCCACTGATATTTTGTTTCTTTGAAACAATTTAGTGTCACTGATCTTTTGTCATATCAAATTTTATATACGCCCGTGCCACCGTGATCGCAGGCAAATAACTAATTAGTGACTTTTTTTAGGCTGTCCTGCTCCCTTTCTCTATTGATTTCTCTTTTTTCTATTCAGTTCATCAGAATGGATGATTGCTCCAGGGGGGCAATGGTGCTACACATTATTATGCTACACGTGTGACAACCAGTTAGTTGTGCAGTCCTCCGAGGTGATGCTCGTACGGCAAAGATCTGGAGAAAGATTAAAAAATATATGAACAAAATCTCCTTAAAAAGAGCACAATAATGTATATTCATCTGAAATTTGCTCCCTTAATTTGTTAATAATTTGGAATATATATGTGCTACTATTATTTTCACTAAGTCCTATTAATCGTATGTAGCATTACAGGAGCATTTATATATTAATAAACTTTTTAGCACATCATTGTCCCTGTACTTTCTTCATTTTTATATTAAAAAGAAATATCTCTCAACTATATATATTGTGTCGCACTTTTCATTGTTTGCACACCAAATATATAGTTTATATATACAGCTACAAAATCAATACATTAGGAGATCACCTCCATCAAATATAAATACACTTAATATTATACATTACTGGACTTACTTCCGTTGCTGATCAAATACATTATGAGACTCCTTGAAATATAATTTTTTTTTGCCAAATACTACTTCTGTCCTAAAAAGATGCAGTTCTAGGTTTGGTCATAGTCAAACTAACATAAGTTTAACTGAATTTATGAAAAAAAAACTATCAACATTTAAGACTAAAAATATGTATATTATTAAAATATATTTAATGCACCACCACCGGTTCTCACATAAACGGCGGTGATCAAACTCTCTGTAGTGTATAGTTTTAATATATATTTTATATAAATCTAGTCAAACATAGTCAGCTTGAGCATTATTATAGAATTACAGTTTTTTGGATAGGAATACATAATATGAGGTTTTGATTTTCCACAACAAAATAAACCTTGAATTTTTTAAGCGGGGGAGTAGTTATTTCACGTTTACGTAGAATAAGTGAGATGATCGATCTCCTTAACCAATGATAATGTATGATGTCTAAGGGCATGCATGTCGTCATGGGCATGAGCCTACTTTTGCATGGGCCACTAACCTCCAACAACGTCCGGTTACCAAAGCAAAGATCACAATCCAAGTCTAGCTAGAAATTTTGATTGCACATTTTGTTTGATGCATTTGCCCATATCTCCATCTCAATGATCTCATCACCCTACCATGTAGTCACCTTCTTTTCCTGGGGGCAAATAATGAATAAGCACACTACATGTACGCCCGTGCACGGCTACAAAAGGTCATACACGGACAGCCATGTCGTTGGTCTATAGGCACTACACGGACAGCCATGAACAATCACTATCTATCGATCATATCTATCTATATAATACTATGTAGCATATAAGAAACTGAGAGGAAAAATTATTGGAAAAGAAAGATGAGAAGCTGCATATCAGCAGCCGCATGGGCCCGGCCGCTCGTGCGCTGCCCCGTCCACGCAATGAAAGCATCCAGCACACTACAGTGACACATGTATTTCTTTTTTTTTTATCAGTCTCTATGATTCGCCGCCAGCTCGAACCTAGCTATATAGTATTGTCGTCGTAGCAGTGCCATCAGATCATTGCAACGAGAAGTGCGTGAGAGGAGACGCAGCAGAGAGCTGCAGAATGGCGTCGGAGAAGGTGGAGACGATCGTGGCGGGGAACTACATCGAGATGGAGCGCGACGTGGGCGGCGACGGTGGAGACCATGGCGACCAACCTGGCGGCGACGCGGCGTCGTCCGGGGCTAGAGGCGGCGGCGGCGGCGGCGGCAAGAAGCTGGCACTGTCGAGCCTGTTCTGGCACGGCGGGTCGGTGTACGACGCGTGGTTCAGCTGCGCGTCGAACCAGGTGGCGCAGGTGCTGCTGACGCTGCCTTACTCCTTCTCGCAGCTCGGGATGGCGTCCGGGTTGGTGTTCCAGCTCTTCTACGGCCTCATGGGCAGCTGGACGGCTTACCTCATCAGCGTCCTCTACGTCGAGTACCGCACCAGGAAGGAGCGTGAGAAGGTCGACTTCAGGAACCATGTCATCCAGGTACATGCTACCATGTATATTTCTGAGAACAACTGAAAATGTTCAACATGTACAAGTAGTGGAATTTCTACACCAATTGATGTTGCTGCGTTTCCTATTTTCTGAGAGCAGTGGTTTGAGGTTCTTGATGGGCTACTGGGGAAGCACTGGAGGAACATCGGCCTCTTCTTCAACTGCACTTTCCTCCTCTTCGGCTCCGTCATCCAGCTCATCGCATGTGCAAGGTAATCATCCATCCATGTGTGTTCACATCAATCAAATAAAGACGTTATCCAAAGTTGCATAGTAAATTTCCTCATTGCAGTGTTAGCAAGATGTTACATTGCTATGCATGTGTAATCTTCTACTTACTCTGTGTTCTGTGTGTGCACTGATCGATCCATGGATGATCGAGCAGCAACATCTACTACATCAACGACAAGTACGACAAGCGGACGTGGACGTACATCTTCGGCGCCTGCTGCGCCACCACCGTGTTCATCCCCTCCTTCCACAACTACCGGATCTGGTCCTTCCTCGGCCTCCTCATGACCACCTACACCGCATGGTACCTCACAATTGCCGCCATCGCCCACGGTCAGGTATATACGCTGAGCGTGCGATGCGGTCGGTCGATTGATCGATGCTCGCCTTTCGCCAACAGCTTAAGCATGGATCAGAAAATGCATGGTCATGTATCCACCATTGAACGAACGACATTGTAGGTGGAAGGTGTGACGCACTCGGGCCCAAGCAAGATGGTGCTCTACTTCACCGGGGCCACCAACATCCTCTACACATTTGGAGGCCATGCTGTCACTGTGTAAGCACGCCAACCTTCCTCGCTTGACCCACACAGATAGAATGATTTGCTCTTGATGCTGCATGAATAACACACACGAATCTGTTCAAATCAGAAGTTAACAGGTCACTTCAGACTGATGAGCCTTGCACTGTTTTTTGTTGGTGGTGCAGGGAGATCATGCACGCGATGTGGAAACCGCAGAAGTTCAAGCTCATCTACCTGGTGGCCACGCTGTACGTGCTGACGCTGACGCTGCCGTCGGCCTCCGCCGTCTACTGGGCCTTCGGCGACATGCTCCTCGACCACTCCAACGCCTTCTCCCTCCTCCCGCGCTCCGGCTTCCGCGACGCCGCTGTCATCCTCATGCTCATCCACCAGGTATATGTACTAGCTGATAGTAACAAAACACACGAGTACTAATAAAGATCAATCGCCATGCATGCATGATCTGTGTTGCTCAACTGCCACATGCGTGCAGTTCATCACGTTCGGGTTCGCGTGCACGCCGCTCTACTTCGTGTGGGAGAAGCTGATCGGCGTGCACGAGACGGGGAGCGTGGCGCTGCGCGCCGCGGCGCGGCTCCCCATCGTGGTGCCCATCTGGTTCCTGGCCATCATCTTCCCCTTCTTCGGCCCCATCAACTCCACCGTGGGCTCGCTGCTGGTGAGTTTCACCGTCTACATCATCCCGGCGCTGGCGCACATGGCCACCTTCGCGCCGCCGGCCGCCAGGGAGAACGCAGTGGAGCGGCCGCCGCGTGGGATCGGTGGCTGGGCCGGGATGTACGCCGCCAACTGCTTCGTCGTGGCGTGGGTGCTCGTCGTCGGCTTCGGTTTCGGCGGCTGGGCTAGCACCGTCAACTTCGTCCGCCAGGTCGACACCTTCGGCCTCTTCACCAGGTGCTACCAGTGCCCTCCGAAGCACTGACATGAGCACTAGGATTTTTAACAGATTCCATGCCAGTGCGTGCATGCTTGAATTTCTTGAGGAAACATGTATGCATAGTCGTAGAGAGAGACATCAAGATTGTGATGAAGAGGGTGTTTCATTTCCATGTCGACGTATGTACGACGACATGGTGTTCCTGTCGGTACGTGTGCAGTATGTATGTATGTATGGATGGATGGATGTGTGTATCTCTCATTAAGATATATATTGATGGAATTAATTGTTACATCTGAGATCTGAGTTGTAGCCATGTCAACTCTGGTTGATATATATTTGATTTTTTTTGGAGAAAAAATGGTCTTGTTTAGCTTGTCAAATCCAGGTTGTACTACTACATTCCGATATGATGTTCCCTAATGAAAAAGAAAGAAAGGGTCTAGATTCAGATGCTTGAGCTGCTTTAATTCCTGATTTTTTTAAAAAAAAAATCCAGTGTCGTTGATCCAACAGTTCATTGTTTACAGTGTAGAGGTGAATGCGAAGGTATGATCATTCATGATGCTGGTCAGTGATGATATCCATATGTAGGGTAACTATAAAATCACATGGCACGTGCATGTAAAGTCGTCACTGTGCAGCTTATCTGGCTAGGCATGCATGATATGGACTTTGCAGGAGAGGAGGAAAAACCTGCATGCATACATGGTCTGGTCCACCATTCTGCATGTCCTACAAAAAAGGTTGCTACTACTGTAGAAAGATCAACTGGAACTAACAGTGTGTGCCTGCATGTTTCGGAAAGGTGACTGAGGCTGCATGTGTGGTCCTGGTTCATGCCTGGCTTTGGTGTGAAGAAAGCACTAGCTTGGATGAGATCACATTATTTTAACATCTGGTCCTGAAAGGTTATGATGCTTGCAACCCCAGTTCAGACTGCAGAGATGGTTCAGGACTAAACAAATGGTAGCTCTCTCATGTGGTTGCATGATGGACTTTGGAGGCTGGGGTCCATGGTAAGTTAGTCTAGCATATCACAGTTAGATACTTCACCGCTTTGAAATCCTGGATATTGGATAAGTTAGTCTAGCATATGAACTGTGAAATGCACACCTGTAGGCAAATTACTATTCTGACTAAAAATGATGATATAAATAAAACCTTTAAGACTGAATGAAGGTGAACTAGTTGGTAAAAGATAAGAAGTTTACCACTCCTGCAAAAGGATGCAACTGCTGCTAGGAATCGAAACATTCAGTCAGAGCAAGAACAGATCGTTCCTGCAGTCTACACGCACAACCCAGCCGGACCTCCCTTTACAGAAACGTCAACAACTAGCAGCCAAATAAAAGGTCATGAAACGATCGAGTAAGAACACACCAAGCAGTCCAAGACAGGTGAGCATGTGCCACTGCATGCGCAAGCCTCCATCCATGGACAGCAGCTGCTCTGAGGTCTGAAGCGAGCAAGGAACCAAGCGCGCGGCAGCTGCCAAACCAGTCTCGTCAAGCTGCCTGCCTAACTCTACGAGTCTACGTGCCTACGTGGAGCTCCTCTGTCGCCATGCACGTAGTAGCATCCAATCAGAATGAAGTCTAGTACACTACAGGTGCCATTGGACTCGCCTCGGTGTACATAGCATGCATCGTCGTGTTCCTTGCCTTGGGTGGGCCGGGGACAGGATAATTTCAGCAACAGGTTGAACGATCAAAAGGTCCATGCAAGTCAACACACATCCTTCAGGCTTCACCTCCTTCATCTTGATGTCTCACTCCTACCGAAGTAGCTACCACTACTCCTACAGAAATAGCTAATCACTATCACCTATGTGGATATGTCGGTTGCTTCACAATCGCAAGTATTATCATACCATCACTGCTAGTTATTTTTAACAATTGGTTACCATTAAGAAGGCAGAAGGTTTATTTACCTGGTCTAATAAACAGCTCTCCCCCCTACTTGAGTGTCTTGATTGGTTTTTCACTTCAACTTCCTGGACCTATCCTATCCCAATACTTTTGCCTACCCCCTCACAATGAAGACATCTGATCATGTTCCCCGTGCTATCTCAGTCTCCACCAAGATCCCAAAAAGTTCAATCTTTCGTTTTGAAAATCATTGGCTTCAACATCCTGATTTCTTTAACATTGTGCAACAACATTGGACTGCATCAGCTCACATTACTGATGTAGCTAAAGCTTTAACTGCTAAGTTCAAAAATCTCAGAGGGGCTCTTAAATCTTGGAAGGCAACCCTCTCTAATTTGAAAACTGCTATTGCTAATGTAAAGCTTGTGCTAGATTTCCAGCACATTATAGAGGAATTCAAAGATTTGTCTATCCCTGAGTGGAACTTTAGGCATCTGCTTGACATTAAATTACAGGGTCTTTTGAAGCAACAGAGGATTTCCTGGAAGCAGAGAGGACAAATAAAATGGGTGACTTTAGGTGATGCAAGCCCCAAATTCTTGCAAGCAAATGCAACTACAAAATTTAGAAGAAACTTGATTACCTGCATGGAAACTGATGATGGGGTTTCTGTGTTTGATCACCAACATAAGGCAGATATGATCTAGGCAGCTTTAAAGGAGAGATTGGGAGTTTTTGAATTCTCCTCAATTCAGTTTAATTTGGTTACTTTTATGCAGGCAACAGCTGATCTTAGCTCCTGGTGGCCGACACGAGGTGACCCGAGACTGATGGAGACGGCCGGCCGGGAAGAGGGAATCGGCAAAAGGGGAGGATGGTTCCAAATTCCGATCTTGTGCGGTTGTGCCGCAACTGCATCGGCCGATGAACCACGAGAGGGTGGTCATGAAGATATGGGCTGGGCCGCACGGGGAAGGATAGCAGAGAAAGAAGTGACGAGCAGAGGAGCTGTGTGTTCGATTCATGGGCCCTGTTGCAACATGGGAAAAAGGGCATGGGCCTTTTTCATGCGGCGTTGTTTTCTTATACGGTACGTTCTAGCTTCATGAACGCTAATTCTAATTTGATTTTTAATGGGAAACTCTAAACGGTAATGCTTAAACGCGGGCGTCAGATCGTCCGGACACTCAGGTTGGCGTGGGCTGCGACGTTCCGAACGGCCCAACAACTTTGTCATGCGCTCTTCTTTGTGTTTCTTCGGTTCAACTGTTGTCTCCACTGGGAAAAGTGATTCACCACTCACTGCAGCGTTCGCACCGTTGCAGCGTGGTCAACTGCGACCGCCTCGCCACGACGTTCTCCCCTACGCTTGCGACCGGTGGCCTTCATCCTCCATCTCCACCGCATCCGAGCACCGGCGTCCACGTTCCTTCCTCTCCACCACGCTCACCGACCGATACGCGACTTCTGTTCTCCATCGTACTGGCCCGACCACTTTGGTCCCTCTTCGGTGGCAGCTCGTGCTAGGAGAGGTGACCAATCGGCCTTCCACTTTTTCTCTACCACGCCCAATCCACTTCCTCACTCGCCCGATCCGTATCAGGTAGGTTGTGCCCGTCGGCGACGCCGTGTTTCAAGTATTTTAGGCAATTCAAACTTATGTTTCAAGTGTTTCTTCTGGATATTATAAAAGTAGATTTGGGATGTTGCATATGTTGCAATGACAATACACGCAACTTACAAGCCTATGTTTGAAGTGTTTCAGGTGTTTCAGATGTATGTTACAACTGTTTCGTCTGGATGTTGCATATGTTGCTATGGTATACTTGCATGTTTCAAGCATATGTTTCAAGTGTTTCATCTATTTTCAGCCGTATGTTGCAAGTATTCCATCTGTTTGTTGCATAAGTTGCTATGGCTATACATGCATGTTTCAAGCATATGTTTCAAGTGTTTCATCTATTTTCAGACGTATGTTGCAAGTATTCGGCCTGGTTGTTGCATAAGTTGCTATGGCTATACATGCATCTTTCAAGCATATGTTTTAAGTTTTTCAGATATTTCAGACGCATGTTGCAAGTTTTCATCTGAATGATGAAAAAGTAGATTTGGATGTCGCATATGTTATTATGGCTATACACGCATGTTTCAAGCGTATGTTCCAAATGTTTTCAGTCGTATGTTGCTAGTATTTAATCTAGATGTTCTGAAAGTAGATCTGAGGGAGCACATGTTGCAATGGCACCGGTAGCTAGCGGATAGCGGCCTATCGCAGCCACCTGCTGCTGCTGCTGGGCCACCGCCATGGTTCACCGTGCGGGAAGCTGGGGCCGGTAGACGCCTCTATGGCGCGCATCCATAGGCGGGGCAGGTGCTAGGACCCACTTGAGTTTTTCGCGTATGGGTGCAGCAGTCATCAGGCAAAACAGAGCAAGCGCGATTGTAGGGCGGGAAGCAGCATGGGGTCCACCAGGTGGAGCACGCGAAAACAGGCAGGTGCGGACTCCATTTCGCGTGCAGCGTGTCCTCCGGCCTATTAGTGCGTGCCATGTCCGGACGCCGGAGTCCGTTCGGACGTCCGGGCACTAGTGTCTCAAAACTCTAAAACCAAACATTTGACCCACTAACCTTTCAAAACCGTCTACAACCTACATCCCAAAATAGGTGTGGCTATATTACACGTGTCGGTCAAACTTTTCTAAGTTTGATTAGGTTTATAAAAAATATTAGCAACATTTGTATCTACAAATAAGTTTTTTAAGAAAATAGATTAAAAAATCTATCTAACGGTACAAATTATATACTATAAATATTAATGTTTTTTATATATATTTGGTCAAAGTTGAAACCGTTTGACTCCTCGGGAAGCGAGAACGACACTTATTTTGGGATAAAGTGAGTAAATTACATCCCTGCCCTAGTTTGGAGTGGTTTTTAAGGTTGTTTTATCTTTTCGTAGTTAAAAAGGTTCATCAAATAATTCATAAGGCTTTTGAACTATAGAAAATATGTGTAGGATTTTGATAAAAAAATTGTGCAGATAGATTGGGATATGCCTAATCTTGATAAAATATTCAGAGCTCATGAACATATCTATGGATGCTTAAAAATTAGATCTGGCTCTAGTAAAATGCTAAAAAATCAGATAAATCTAGAAAAACTCCAAAACATTAT